TAGGACTGCGATAACATATAGATGTGCACCTCGTATTTTGGTTGCAATCGGCCGTACCAAACGTATATAAATATATTTATATATATATCCACTCTGTTACCCGGCTCAGTGATCTCAGTTTCTTTACTCTTATATGTTTGTAAATTGTACATTTTTTGCTTTAAAAATGATTGAATTATGTTGTGCTTATCTTCCGGTTAAGGTTTTTATGCCTTTCGTAATTCTGGAAGCAATATTTGTACAATTATCAACAATTTAAAATCTGTTTAAGTGCGGTTAAATAACATGGCGGACATATTTGTTTATATTTGAAACAGCAGAATCGTAGATTTGTTGCCAATCTAGAGAGACTAAGCTTCGCAACACAAAAATAACGCCTTCATTTATTATTGCGAATTAAATCATGCTTAATCCTTTCTGGAACTTTTTCGAGGAAATAAGTGTTTAAGATTTACTTCGTAATTTTTAATGCAGATATTTTGAGTTTTTATGTATTTTTGCCTTGTCGCGAAGTGAGAACTAAATTAATTGAATAATAAATACTAAATCGTCTGTGAAAATCTGTTTCTTTTCTGTTTTCTTTGCTTAATTTCTTCCATACATGGTTTTAGCTTTATTATAGTATTTGAATAGAACATGTGGCAGCGATAATTCTTCAAATGATATAAATTTTGTGCATTCAGAGTGTCGTTATAGTAAACAAATATAGTGAATTTTAAAGAGGGCATTTATTCTATTGTGGTTTATGCGCTGTCGACGAAGTAGATTTAATTCAATCCGATCAATTTAAATGAAATTCAAGGAAAAATTAATATAATTTAATATTCCGTACAAGGAAGTCATGTGGTGTACACATCAGATTTTTTAATTGTATAATTACATGCCTGATTAAATTTTAAACGTTAACAGAGAATTGCTCTATACGTATTTGCTTCGACTGGTGCCGACAGTCTTTCAATCGTATTTTCAAGTTCAAAAACTGTTGATAGCCTTTCTGATCTCCACCTTTTATTCTTGGAATTGGCAGTGCTTTTCTCTACTCAGCTTAAGTTGGCATATGTTCATTTTCTTCCGTATCATTTTCACTGTCAGTTTCAGTTTCTGCAGCTCTTTTAACATTTGATGTAATATCATAATCAGTGTTTTAATCAGTTTATATCGTAATCAGTGTTTGTCTCAATATCATCATCAATTGTAACGTATTCTAAAAAACGAATTTTAGTAATTTCCCTTTCTCTGACGTCTGAAATATTAGAAATAGTTTGCAAATCCTCTGTAGCTTCTTGTAAGTAAAAAACACATTTTCTAGAGGATTTTCTGTGTTTCGGAGACATCTTTTCTGTAATTACATTTGATAGCTTTTAAAATCTTTGTGTAATCGCTGAATCTTGAAACCTCGGTGTAATGGCTGAATGGAAGTCGTATTTTCAAAAAGAAATACTAATTTAATGTTTTTCAAAATGATACCAGAGCGGGGGTGCTGCACGATTATCTAACAGTAAAGCTATTTTTTCGTTTTTTAATTCTTTGTCCCATTTCAAAGGGAAATCAATAAAAATATTGCTTTTCACCCATGAGTTCTTGTTATTATGCTAAGTTAAATTCTTGACTCCTCTTTATAAACTTCGTGCGGTTTGTATTCTTTCAGAACCCCAGGTAAAGCATCTTTTATCCATTTCTCAGTCGAATTATAATCTACCTCTTGCTCCTCACCGTGTAGTTTCCGATAAACAATGATTTCTCTCTTTCCATCTTAAGAGCCATCCATCAGTTTGCACAAAACCATCCTTTTCCCGCTTCCTTGAGACATTTGTATTTTTTACTTGTTTTTTATTAATTTTATTTCTTTGTTTAAGTAAATTGCACAATATTGGTTACGAAATCCCTATTTTAAAAGCTGCTTCTTTCTGGCTGCATTTACAAGACGTATCATAATCTTTCAGCAATTTACTATTTTTTTCTTTCACTTTTCTTTTAAGCTTAAATCGTTTCGTTTAGACATTTTCGACATGTTACAAGTCACGCATACAGCAAATAAAAATGTTTCTTCCAGTAATTTATTCAAAGCTAAAATTCTCATTCCTTGCCAGCAGGAAGATTGCCCCTTTGTTCTATCAAGTCGAACTGTCATTTCATGTTTATTTATAGGCCTTCGATGCCTTCTTTTCAGTCTAAAACGAGCATTCCTCTTTTAAGTCAAAGACTGATAACGTACGATGATGCAAAGAAGCATATCACGATGTTTTATGAGAACTTAATGCGTGTATGTAAATCCATTCCCTATTAGCTGGTGTTCGAGAACGAAAACCCGGTGTTAAGCGCTACTTATTCTTTAAAACTTATTCGTTTATAATCAAAAACCTTCTTTCCAATGGTTCTGAAGGACTGCCTTTGTTAATCATACGATAAAGGTATTTATTAACTGTCAGATCTAATCTGGACAAAGAGATTTGCAAAAGTGTCTGGCAGGAACAAAGAAAGTGTACCTGATATCCCAAGGAGTCTTAGTTATAACTAAATTAAACAAAATTTCTGATAAATCCGTTTTATTGAAGCACTACATAACTGAACAACTACAAACAGCTTTTATCAGCCACAAGCAGTTTATTATGGTTCTAAGTAATGAGATTTTGGCCATTTTGAGTTTTATAAACGGCGAAGATGAGTTTAAAAAGCGGCAGTTTTTTTTTTCTGTTGATTAGTATATATTCGTTATGGTTCCTGGAAATCTGAATGCAATAAGCGGCTGAATTTACTAACTTGTGAGTTAAATAAGTGGCGGTACTGTATATCTTTTCAACGTATTCCTGAGAAGTCCCCTGACTTTCACCTATGGATTATTGAGCCTTTGGTACCTCGAAGAGAGCTCTTTCTAAGCATGATGGAATCTAGACAGTAGTAGAAACGAAATGGAAATCAGTTCCGCTGGAAATTTTGCGAAAAGCCATCTTTGATGGAAATCCTTTTGTAGACTATCAGTCCAGGGGAGGAAAAAAAAAGCCTATCAGATCGAACGTTTAAAAAATATTCTTTACATTATGAACATTCATTTCAACATGCTGTAACGCTTCTGTTCTCTGTTTGATAATCGATTTAACCCCCTTTGCCACGTTAGCCGATTTAACCTCTTGCCTGTGGAATATATTTGAGAAAAACGTTCCAAAAATGGAATTTTTTTTCTCTTTAATTTTTTCGTTATTATAATCAAAATGTTATAAATAGATTATTTTTTTAAAAAAACAAAAGTTTAAACGAAGTAATTACTATATTCAGTATTTTCACATATATGGGAAATGTTAACGGATTATAGCAACTTTATGTTCATATTATAGCAAAATAAATCAAATGGCATAATTTTCAAGATTAATACAACAATATTATTATTTATATCAACTGTCATGAATTTCATGTCCCTCAGGCTTTTACAGTGATTTTAACATGAATGGGGCAAATTTTGTGCAGTTTTGAATTAGGGTGTGTTTCAAGGTCGGCTTCTTCATTGTACACAAAATGTATATATTTTCTTATCATTTGAAATCTGTCGTAGGACATTAACTTTGCGAAAGAATGGAGTCTCACGAAATGTCTCTTTTGACCAAAACATTGAGACATCGGGGCACTTACATTTTTTATCGGAGTTTTGGGTTCAGATGTTGCCTTTCAATGCACTACTGTATATCTATTGGTCTCTTCCGTAATGGTGTGAATCAAATTGTCATCAAAAAATAGTTCAAAATATTGTTTTTCTGAAGTAAAAGTAGAAGTATCAGTTGCTACACCCACTTGTGATTGTTGAAATGGGAATCTTGGAGCGGCTGGAGGAAGGTTATTCAAACATAGCGGCATCCAGGTTCGGCATGAAAGAGTTTCACTTTCGTCGTCACTTTTGGAATAGTCATACTCTTCTGTTGAAATACTGGTGTCTGAGCATGAAGAGCTTAACAAATATTTTTCATCATCGTCTGATTCCGACTTTGCGAACATAATGCGGTTTGAATGAAATTTGGGAAGAAACGAAAAATTTCAAAAATCCGATAAATGGCGTGAAACTGCCGAACATTTCGCGGAAAAGTATCGTGATCTATTGGTTAAATGATAAGTTACATATTATGCATTGGACGAACTGTTTCGGTGTTTCACGGAATTGAAACACTGAAATTTTTTTCTCTTGCTCGAACTCAGGTCGGGCATTCCAAAATTGACGCATTTGCGTTGCTCGAACTGAGTTCGGGCGTCACAGGCAAGAATTAACGTCTGTCTTGTTCACCAACCGTACAAATCATCGTACTCGGCATACTACATGCAACAGCCGAATGCCGGATCCTTATGCCAGATTCTTACTTTTCAACAATATCTTTTCTCCCTTCATGGTGATCCTAACAATTTTCTTCGTTTCTTGACTGTTCTCATTATCTAAAACTCATTGCTCATGAATTTAAAAAAAAATAAACGAAAATCACAGAAAAATTCCCAGTTACATCGTGGGTTGTATATTGAATAGCAGATGCACTGAAGATCATGTTTGTCTCCAAAGAGGTAAACAAGTATAGCGCAGACAGTGGTGACTCATCGAGCTCGAGTCGTATTCCAAACAAATATCGTATATCAAATCAAAATTTTCGTGCCCAAACAGAAACGTATACCAGGTTGGACATATTTTAAAGGGGGTGTATACTAAGGTACCACTACACTTCAAAATGCAAATAGAATTTTAAAATTGTTTTATTTTGTAGTTTATAGGAAGCACGTAAGAAAGCATGTTAAGTAAGAAAATATTTGCAATTTATGCATTAAATTAGCAGCTGTTTTAGTGTATTGATGTTCTCAGAACTAGTGACAAAAATGAAGCGTAATAAACGAAAATCAACAATCTGATACGTTACTGGTCTCCCTTCCCTAAATCTAAAATCTCAGAATTCTATTGGATGAAAAATATCATCTGGATATCATGTGATAGCCCCAACCTTACAAAACACCTATCGCATTCAAGTTTTAAGCATAATATCTCCAAAGCCGTTAGCAATTTAAGATATCGTCTCATAGGTTTAAAGAAAATTAGTGGCAACAGACCATGGCTAATGCGTTTGCATTATTCCTTCTAGTTGTAATAACAACTTCGGTTTTGGAAGCTCATGGATCTACGTTTTCCCAGCCAATGAATACACAGCATGGTAAGTGGCAAATTCTTTCAAAAACATGCTAAGCGACATTGCTTTAATTCTGCTAATTCATACGTCCCTGCCTCCCGCTAAATACCCCAATATCCCGGTTTTTAATTTTTTGCCTATACTAAAAAAATGTTTCTCAGCAATAAATGGTACTTAAATTGTGCAAATTCCATTAATAATTTTTAGCATAATTTTACTGATTAAATTTTATTTGCTTTTTCTCTTATTAAACTTGATTCCTATGAAGTTTTTATTTAATTTATATTTATATTAAGTTATATTATATCTATATTTAAATTTTAATCAGATACGTATTTGTACTTAATTTATTTTTACATCAATATATGGTACATTTCTAGTTTATCCATACAATAGTAAGTACATTAATTACTAATTTTATTTTCATCATTTAATTTCCTTTTTATCATCAGTACTTTGATTGAAAAAATATAAAAGGATTAATATTTTAAAGACGCATCAAAGGATTTTTTATGTTGTCGCAGAGCGTCGCAGGTAAGCAATCTGTTCTTGCGTACACTCCGAACGCAATGTTTTCGCCCTATTTTAAGCACCGCTTTTTTTTTTTTTTTTTTTTTTTTTTTTTTTTTTTTTTTCACTTACGCCACATAAGGTTCAAGAGAAAAATCATAAAATATTTAAAAATAGCATATTTGTAGAAATCCTGATAAAATTTAGGGGTTGCTGAATTTTTTTTCTTTCTTCTTTGAATTCTATTATTTCTTTGAAAATTAGCTATTTGAGCGGCCAGCGCCTAAAAGAGTTTTAAAAAAAAAGTATACGATGATTTTAAAGATGAAAAAAAAGTATACGATGATTCTTTTAATGCCTAAAAGAGTTAAAAAAAAGTATACGATCATTTAATAAAAATGTGTTACAAATCTCATGATTTAAATGCATTTTTATTTTAATCAATCAGATTAAAAAGTAGGCAAAATATTTTTAATGACTGCATTTATTGCCTTTCAATCACTTCGTTTGTTATTACTCAGTAATAGAAAAGTTAAATATTTTACTCTTCACTGAATGGCAGCACTCTGGTGTGGGGATAATAAGTATCATATTTGAGACAGTGGACATATTACTTTCAAATATTTGAATTTAAAATTGAATGACTGTAAATTGAAATTTGTACAAAATATGAAATAAATCAACAACAAATTCGGAATTCAAAATTTGGGCTTTGAGGTCCTCATGTTCGAATCTGTCTACTAGCTGTGATTCTTAGCTCTAACTCGAATTTTGCATGAAAGTGAATTTTTTCTTAGCACCGCCATTTTATCCCACTCCTCTTGGGTCATTTTCTAATGTCTGCTTAGTGTTCTTGGATTCCGTTTTCTTAGGCACATTCTAACAAACCGAAAGCAGAAAGTCTATAGGAGAAGTCTCAGGTGATTTTACGGACGTTTCATTGTTTCTTTGCGAAATAAGCGGCAGTTGATTTAGATGTGTGACTAGAGGCTTTGTCTATAAGAAGCTCAAATTTATTGACATCCTTCTCTTATAAGGATAGAATTTCGTCTTCAGAAATAAGTTCTAAAATACTCGACTGATGGTACGATGAATTAGTTTTAGCTTTACCTGAGACATTTTTTAGTTTTAATCTACCGCTGTAACAAAATTCGGTGAATCTTCGGATTATGGTAACTTCACGATTTTTTTGGCGAAAATTTGGCCACCAACCCTGCTACAGTAACCCGCTAGTTTTTTTTTTTTTGGACGCCATTTTGTTTTCACGGGCCCACCAGCAGCCGAGCGATAAAAGCCGCTGAACACTGGTAGTTCGGTCCGGTGTTCGAATCCCGGCGAACGGGCTGGCTGCATGGGCGTTTTCGTGGTTTTTCCCATGTGTAACGTGGATACGAGCCAGTTTCCCTTAAAAAGACCTCCACGGGGCATCCCTCCCTTTCCGTGTAGTGCCTAAGGGCGGAGCACGTAATAAGTAAAAAAAAATTGTTTTTCACGAAGTAAAGGCTTTTTTTTTAAACTCAACATTTTGTCTAACAATCTGCTAGCCGAATTACGCTTATGCTAGAACTTTTATGGAACAAAAGTGCTTAATCATGACGAAGATTAGGTGCGAAATTGGGAGAAAGTGCAGAATCTCCCACTGCTTCGCGCGTTTTTAAGAATTGCACATACGCGGTATCTATGTACACGTCGACCTATTTTCACTTAAAAAAACATCCCAGAATTGCACAAAAATGGCATTGCGCACACGCTTGACTTTATCCACGTACATATCGACCTATTTTCACTTAAAAAGTCGAAGAAAATTGACAAAAATCCAATTCTTCTTACTCTTATAAAAAGTGCCAAACAAATAAGTGGACGATTCTGCACAGCGAAATTGTTTTTAAGTGCTTATTAGCTAAAATCACGATCGGAATTTTCCGGAAAATGTCACATGACATGTCTCATGATCTCTCATTTCTCTGAGACAAAATAATCTGTGATTCGAACTGTGTACTTCTCAGATTATTGCTAAAGTCCTACCTAGTAACCTTTATCGTCTTACCAAAATGTCGCCAAACTACCTGTTACCATATTCCAAAGATTAGTCCAAAATTCTTGACCTATCTTGAATCCCGTACGAAAACTTTTCTCTACATTGATAAGACCATTTCGTACAGCCTTTTCGCCACTTAGAGTATCAGAAAATTGATCGGATTTTCTTGAGGTGACTTAAAAAATGCTCATGCTTCATCGAGCCCAACTTTTCCATTTATCAGCTAGCGCCCGAGCGGTAAAGACGTTGAACACTGGTAGTTCGGTCCGAGGTTCATATCCCGCGAACGGGCTGGCTGCATGGGCGTTTTCGTGGTTTTCTATGTGTAACGTGTATACGAGCCAGTTTCCCTTAGAATGTTCTCCACGAAGGCATTCCTCCATTTAGGCAGATAGCCCTCGTGTTCTTTGCCATAATTAAATAATCCAATCCAATCCAATCCATTTATCAGCAGCTAGGTGTTTTCTATATAATTTTCTAAAGTTTGCTTTTTTTGCAAATGCTTTGGGGAAAGTAGATAAACTTTAAACACCTTTTTTAACTTCAAATCTTTATGAATGATTTTACATAGAATGCATAGAAGACATTTCCAGCTCCGATGCAATGGACATTTATGTCGACGGATTCGGACAGGATTTTCAGGATGATATTTATGTGTTAGTAAATAGAGTAAGTATTGGTACAGAGTTTGCAGAATTGCCGATAAATATTTATAATTATTAACTGATTTAATCGACTGTTGACAGTTATTCATATTTATTTGTTATTATTAATTCATTATAACATTATCTTCTTCAGTATTCCATTTTCGCTTCCACAGAAATTTTTTCTAGAGAATTTCTAGAAAGCAACCTTTTTTTTTTTTTTTTTTTTTTTTTTTTTTTTTTTTTTTACTAGAAAGCTATATAACGCGATCCTAAGAAATTTGGAAAACACTAGAAAAAGAAAATATTAAAGAGGGAGGGATTTGAAATATTCCATTGATAACAGTAAACATTCTGTTTTACTTCCTTGTATGAAGTAAAGGAAGTATTGTAGTTGCGAAAAATTTCGGTTAACAGAATTTCAACGGAAATATCCATTTCCATCGTTCCCGAATTTTGAGCACTTTTCTTTTTTCAAGACATCTGCGCCAACGAGAATAAAAGGACTCTTTTGTACAAAACATAGTGTAAAATGGATTTTTTTTCATGATGTCAGTACCTTTACTTATGATTATATCTCGCATACCTCGAAAACGATTAGCCGTAGAACTTTGAAATTTTGTATATGGGACTGGCAATAACAATATATAATATATATAACAATCAATATATATATGCCCACCAAACGTAGGGCAAGTGGGGTGGCCGGTATTTTCGCAATCGTTGTAGCAGTCATTTCTAATAATACAAATGTTTTATAGGAAGAAAATATTCCTATTTCGGCAAATTCAAAGTAAAAAAAATAATTTTCCACAAACAAGGAAATCTAACTTTTAATGCAGTCTCCCTGTTCCTATATTTATGTTTGGGAGAGATTTATACTCATCATGAAAATTTTAAGAAGTTTGACTCTCATACGACAAAAATTAACCTGATATTTAATTTCAAAATTTGTAGTTTTTAATGATATTTTCAGATTGCCTTGATCTGTTAATTAAGTTAGAATGATTCTAGGAAATAAGTTTAAACGAATTTCATCAAAAAATTGTATTTTTTAATACAACAAAGAAGTAAGTATACAAGGCGTACAAGGAAGTCATGTGGATTTTATATATTTGTAATCGGCATGTATATTGACAGACGAAAGTAGATCAGACAGAATACGTAGATTATTAGACAGATCGTACAAGAAACTGAATATTTGATAGACTATAGAAAAATTAATATAAAACGCTTTTGTTAAATCTACAGCCTATATTCAGTCCAGATCCCAAAAAAAGAAGATTAGAATAAAAAGAAATTCTGTACATGCTTTTCACCCCTTATGGGTATAGCATACGAGTATAATGTGTATATACATTTCGATGAAAATAAAAGTTTGAAATATTCGAAACCACTTCGGAGAATCGCAACCTGGAAAATTGTTCTAATTGACAAAAACTTCGGCATCTTTATGGCAATATACCGTTTTTATAAAGGTGCAAATAGCTTTATAATAAGTCAGAATTTTTCGTATGGCTGTCGAAGATTTACTTCATCTCTTGCGAATTAATTAAGCAGTAACTGAAGCGAAAATTGGACTTCCATAATTCTTTCGAAAGGGTGTGTTCACCTTTATGAAAAATGCAGGATATCGACGATCAGTTTTGAGCGAGAAACTGATCTTCAGTTCGTGCACGCTTCCTTATGCGGCGGTACCGGCGGTTCCTTATGCGGCGGTACCGTTTCTGTCCTCTCAAACAGAGGTCAAATTGCATAAAAGTACGGCACACCATTATGCCAGGCACCGTTATGAAAGCTCCCGACTAACTTCATTATGAGGTTCATTGTTCATTCAAGGTTCATTAAGAGATTGTCAAACGACTTATCGCCTTGTCCTATTAAAGCAACTGTACACAGGGAAAGGTTTAAACAAACTGTTTCTTTAAAACATGAAACCTAAGATGTGCACAGCTCGAGCTCACAGTTCAGTCTCCGTTGCTTGCGGAATTTAAGCTAACGTAAAATTTAATTATGTAAAATTTAAAGTAATTCAAATTTAATTCACAAGTCAAATTCGCATCAAACTTTGGCTCAGGATTCTAGCTAGCCAGTAAGTGCAAACAAACTCGACTAGGAAAAGACTATTAGACATATCTGTCTAATGTGAGTCTCAGAATTAGGTGAAGAAATAACACGAAGATGAGTGTCGCTACCAAAGTTCTCTCTCTACCTTTCAAGAGCTCTGATTTTATATACACATGGCTAATCTGCATCTTGGTGGGAGGTGACAAAATTCAATTTAAAGTACAGATAAAATAAGATGATGGTTTAATTAACACAAACCATTTAAGTGCCTATTTAGTTTCATTTGCTAACATTCTCAATTTCACTTTACAGGATATTGCGAGGGACGGGCGTTTGGCCGTATTGCAGTAGGTGAAGTCGGTTATGACGATACCAATTGCTTGAAGTATACTTGCAGTCCATGGGAAATTAGTGGTGAAGGGTAAGTATTTGAAATGTATTTTTATGTTAAATGTGATAATATATTTGACGATAGATTTGTCATGGTACCTTTAAGCAACACTGAAAAAAGCTTACAGCAAACCTCTTCTAATATCTGAGAAGAAATTTGAAAGTCCACAAAGTTTAATTGCCAGCAACGCAATACTAAGCACTTACGCAGCATTTTATAGCAGTCTGAAGTTTCAGCAATAAAAATAGGTACTATTTTAAAACTTAAAGCAAATACAGCCACTTAGGGAAATTTTTTACTGCTTTTTGCATTTTGATTAATAATATAGCATTGAAACAATAAGAGTACCATTTTGCAATTTCGTAGTACATGATTCAAGGTGCTAACATTATTAAAAAACTTGATTTATAAATGTTTTTCATTATTATGAGTTATGAATTTATAATATGGTTCAATATAATGCTAAAAATGCAAAAATAGCAAAATTTCATAAAATAGATAATTAGATGATAAATTTAGATAGATAATTTTATAAATTTCATAACATTTTATAAATATTATTACTAACAGATCTCCTGTAAAGTCTTTTAGTAATGCTTATTCCTTAATCCATCAATTAAACTCGCTATCCCTGCATTTCAAAATCAAGGGAAAATTTAAATATGTTTATCTTAAAACTTCGTTTTCCGAGTTATGCCAGTATCGCAGCCCATGAACGATATTTGTTGCATAAATACTTATTTGGAAATTTTTGACATACATATTAACAGCTCATACTGATCATTTGGTGCACGTATCTTAAAGATAGCGAATCTGCATTCATCCTTATTTTAAGGTAGTGAAAGTACAAGCCTTTGGCGATATTTTAAATTTGTACGTTACAGATCAGGCAATTAGACTTGCCGATTCGGCAACTAAAGACGATGGCCGTTTTAACAACGAAGACTTAGATTTGCATAACTTTACCTGATTCGTTTACAATATGAAATTTATATTTAAATATTTAACATCACTTCAGTTTTATCCTAAAGCAACTCTTAATTTTCGCTTAAATTTCAGAATGCCGTCATGATAATATAAATTATGATACTTTTCTCTTAATGGGGCGTCACATCGTGTCAAAGATAAACGTTGCTATAAAATCTAACTAGATGGCGGCGTCCTTAAGGATACGTAAAGCCCCTTGAGAAAAAAAAATGAACTGCAATTACAGTAATATATCATATTGCGTAATATATCTATAATGTTTAATATCTATGACGCTATAATGAAATTTTATGTTTTTTAAAGGAAAAACTGATCGTTGTGCACAAGGGGAGTACATATCTAAGCAGAGATCCTATGTGCATTGCGATTTGTTTCTCTTAAAAAACAGCAGATAATTGCACAATTTCTCTGCAGTGCACGTGCTTGGCATTGCGCATATTAAATATTGCCTAGCTATTCATCATACGATATAAGCAAACTATCACATTTAGCTTCCTCTTACCTGATGCACTGGCATCAAATATAATCTCAATTTTGTAATTAATCTTTATTTGTAATTAATCTAGGACAAAACGGCGAGGTGTGTATAAACATTCATTCTCTGATTTACAGTTAAATATCGAAATTAATTTTATGTGACACAACAACAAATATTCTTGAATGAAATTTTTCTATTGAATCTAAATTTTCATCATTTACAATTTTTTGTCTGAAGAAAGAAATCTGCGAAACGTCACCCAGAACTTCCCTTAATAGGTTCGAACAGTCAAAATAAATCTAATATAAAGATAGAAACCATCATAAGGGTGCGGTACTTCGATAGAATATTCTTTGTCCAAGTTCTAAACTGAATTGGGTTTAATCCTAGTATACGGTGCAAACGGGATTTGGCTACTTTTGGCGACTTTATGATGAGCAATAAAAACGGGACATATATGATGAGTAGTAAACGGGTCATTCAAAGAATATATATAGTATATACTATGTATATAGTGATAGTACACTGCCTCAGTGCAGTAGAAACCCAGTATTATACAATTAAGTATCTAAGTATAGTGATAGTGTAAAGTGTATAGTATATACATACGTTCTTTGAGTCAATTTTTGTGTTGGCGATAATTTTCAAAATCGCGCCAAGGCTGCACCGTATACTAGGATTTTACCAAGGAGGTTAGAATAGAAGGAGGGAGGGTTCGCGGTTTCCTCCACTATCGGGGAATGAAACTCCGCCGAACAAGCGGCGTCCATGTTTGTGACTTCAAAACATTGCATTACGGCAGTGCAGTGGCAGGAATGTACGTGTTTCTAACCTGTTCCGTGCATTTATTTTCCAGTAAAAATATGTTAAATTTATAATTAAATCCCTCGCTATTGTTGAATTTTTGTTTTAAAGTAATAAAGATGATATCCATAATTTACTATGTACAGCACAATTATTAAGAAATAGTTCGAAATATAAATGCATGCGCATAACATTAAAGCCTTTTTAAAAAAATGATGTTTCTGCATATTTCACGAACTTGCTTAAGTTAGAAAATAAATCTTAATAAAAATAAAACAGATTTATGTGAATTCATTGATTTCAGTTTATGCGCATTTCATATTTATTAATCTCAAAGAAACTGCTGCCTTTAATTAAGTTGAATTACAGAAATACACCTATATAAGTTTTTGGATACATCTTTCCACATGTTCAATTGTGTAAATATTTTACTTAATTTTATCACTATAACTGCCCAGAAATTTGTAAGTTTATGCAAAAAATTTTTTAACAACAGAACAGTTTATCTTAACTTAAAAAATGAATAATAATTAATATATGAAGAAAGCATTGCTTTATTTAACACCTTTACAGTTTTATAAAAATAGTAACAATTGATTTCTTACTTTTCATGAAAGTTATTAAAACGAATTAACTAAAACGTTCAAATTATACAATTTAAATCCTACCATATAGCATTGTATCTTAAGGAACGAACGAAGATACCAGCTATAAACAGAAACATTAAAATGTATTTAACATATTTTGATTATAGTTATATTACGTAACCTATTTTGACCTATTTAAGTCCCTTTTTTTTTCACATCTGGAAAGAAAACCACATGACATTATGATATTTTTTGACATAGTTGTCGTATTACATAAAAAAAGAAAATCAATACTTACGTGTGAAAAATAATGCCCGGAATTTTTTTCGAGAATCTATTTGTGCATCCATATGCAATACAAGCTGACATGCTTCAAAAAAAAAAGAAAAAAATGTTGCAATGACAGACTTCCTTGCACAAGTCACGGTGATAACAGGAAGATGGCCGCCAAGCTTCACCGTTTGAGTTGAACCTTCCCTCCTTCTATTCTAACCTCCTTGGATTTTACCCTGAATTGTATAAGAGTGCGGGCACATTTATGCACGTCGGTGACTATTCACTAAAATAAAGATGTGACATCCCGGCATCTCGATGAAGGTTACCTTTTTCGGTACTCTTCTGTTTTGAGGGCCGTAAAAAAATTGCAGCGAAAATATATGCGATAAAGTGCCAAATCTAGCAAACGCGCCCATTTAACAGCTCGCCAAATCTAGCGTACGTGCTGGTTTCAGATTGCGTAAGTTTATATAGTTCTAGTATATTTCTTAAGACGCCATTGAAATGCTAGTTTAATTTTTAAATCCTTTTTTGATATCCTATAGATTTAACAATTTGGGAATTGCTCATGATGAAAAGTCGGCAATAGAATTTTGGGTAAAGTGCAGAATCACTCACTGCTTGACAAGTTTTTAAGAATTGCACATACTCGGTATCCATGTGCACATCGACCTAATTTCACTTTAAAAAAAACCCTAGAAATGCACAAAAATGGCACTGCGCACACCCTTGACTTTATCTATGTACACATCGACCTATTTTCGCTTTAAAAAAACCCTAGAATTGCACAAAAATGGCACTGCGCACACCCTTGACTTTATCTATGTACACATCGACCTATTTTCACTTAAAAAGTAAAAGAAAATTGACAAAAATCCAATTGTTTTTACCCTTGTAAAAAGCGGCGAAGAAATAAGTGAGCGATTCTGCACTTTACTGAGAATATTTTCAAAGAAAAGGCATCATTCATTATAGAAAATTACGTTTGAACATCCAACGAGATGAAATTAGGCTTTAGCATAAGTTGGTAGCGAAATAGCGATGCAGGCATTCATTCAGTTATGTTTAGCAATTTTTATATAAATTATAATAATGAGGCGACTTCTTATTTCACGAGCAATCTCAATTCTAATTAAACGGTTGAAACAAATCGAATAATCTTAAATCTTCTTACCTTGTCTCTTTGCTCGTAAATAGATGTTGACGCTGTCTTTTTGAATACAAAAAGCTACTAAAAGTTTACACACACCATTTATTAATCATTTTAACACACACACAGATACAATACAGGAGACACTTAACGGAAAAACGACATAGAAGTTAGAGTCATCCGAAGTTCCTGGGCATGCGTAGATGCCCGAGGTTTAAATTGGAAGCACTCCATTCTATACTGTGGGGGTTGCGACATCTTATGTCTTGATGAGCAACAGCTGACTTGCAAAAGGCGCCAGGACTTTTCCAAGTTAGTCATTGTTCGGCGACTGCGAAAGTCAGCGACTATACACTTATATCTTTAAAGGAAAACACAGGAATCTTGATGGAGATTGCATTCTTCGTGATACGAACCTAACTTTATTAGGGTGTCGGGCACTTCATACGTCTTGATGAGCAGTGGCTAATTTGAAAAAGGGGCTGGAACCTTTGCAAGTTATTAATTATTCGTCGACTGTAAAATTCAGCTACTGTCTATTTAGATATTCAAAGGGATATCTGGGAATCTGGATGAAGGTTGCATTCTTCATGAACACCTCTGTATCTTAATGCAGAGGCATCTTTGTACCTTGCCGAGCGGCGGTCAACTTCCATAAATGTGCTGCCACCTTTTGAAAAGTGGCCCATTGTTCGCCAAGACACAAAACCTTATGAAGTTCAATTTATACCCGTGAAGACAGTAGCCTCTCATCAAGATGCCGGGACTCACTTGTAAAGATCTAAGTGAATAGTCGCTGACTAGTAGGAAGATGTCTGGACCGTGACGAAGTCATCGGGTTGGCGGCACATGAAAATTTCCTGCTTTTATACTAAGGCGTAAAGAATTACTAGATCCAGCAAATATGAATTTTCGACAAGCTAACGACGATTGGGTTAAGACGAAGAATTTAATGTGTTTAATATTGGTGTCATTATTTGTTTCATTTTTATTGGTACCAGAAGTCTCGAAACTCACTCTTATGTCCAAATCACTTTTCAGATTGTTGCAACAGCAGCAGATATCATCGCGATGTATTATTTTCTAGAAAAAATAAAGAATCTTCATTTATTGTTGCTTGCGTACGGGTTCGTAATGGATTAAATGCACACGGAACCGATGATAGCTTGATGAAATTTATTCTCCCTCACTCCCAAAAAAAGCATTTTATAGTTCTGCAACTTTCCACAAAAATACTCATACAGCTCTTCTCAGTAGAATGGAGCACAATTAGTAGTTACCACTTCAAACTATTAGTAACATTAAACACAAAGCAATGCAAAGCGCATCCAAAGAGCGAAACTCGCATGGAGATCTCTTAATACTCCGACGTGAGCTCTGAATTAAAAACTGCGGCTCTGTTCGACCTTAAATAGTTTTCCACCTGCTACCGAGAAATCTCTAGTATCTTCGATTCCTGGAAATTAATGGAAGGTATATACGGTTAAAGTTACATATAAGGGCTGTGTGCGATTGTAGTTAAATATAGGGATGCATTACAGTTATTCAATTACAGTAACAATTACATTTGTACAAGGAACAGACCGAAATGTCGCCAAATGGTGAGCACGTTTGCTGAATTTGGTAATTTTATGTCAAATCTGGCGACAAAAATTTGCAGCCCAAACCATCGCTACCTTGCCGGTATCTCCCCAATTTAATAAGATACAATGTACCTCAATGTTACTTGCCCTTGTAACCTTACTTCTCCGGCAGAGTTTTACCTCTCCTACTTAAAAAAAATCCTTATAACTTTACAGCGGCGCCCGAACTAAAAGAATGGTGAACCATAATTTGTCACCACTAGGATTTGGCGAATGGGTGCCCCTAATCCACAGTAGCCCTTTAAAAGGCGGTATATATAAGGTATTTTCTCCCTCCTTTCTAGCATGCCATCGTAGTGTAACGGTCGCACATTCGGCGCGTATTCGAGAGGTCCAGGTTCGAATTCCGATGAGAGCATTACACATTTTTCACCTCTCCTGCTTCCAAAAAAAAAAAATCCTAATGACTCAACAGTCTCATTAGAAATATTAAATTAAATGACACTAGCTGTACTCATTAAAAACATTATATATATATATATATATATATTTTAATGCCTTTAGGCGACTGCCCGCGCAAGTGACTAGTTTTCAAAGAAATAATATAGCGAATAAAAAAAATGTGTGGCAACCCCTAATACTCTATCGGAAATTCTAAAGATAGCCTGATTTTAAATATTTTGTGATTTTCATCGTGAATTTTATGTATGTAAGCGCGAAGGAAGCGAAAAGACGAAAAACTTTTGTTAGCAAGTGTGAGTTCAAGAGCAGATTGGTAACCTGCGATGCTTAAGAAGAGCCTGAAAACCTTATCAAATCATTTGTGCTACGTTAAAATCTGAACTACCAGTGTTCAGGGACTTTACCGCTCGGCCGCTGGTGGGCCTTATCTGTCCTTATCTTGCACAAATTTAAAATGTCCCTTTCACACCCCTTAAGCAGTATAAGGCAGACTACTCGCCAAGGGTAAATGGCATTCCACCAAGGGCACAGATTTCTTCAGAGTACCGAATGCATATATTTGTGATTTTGGCAAGGAGCGCCTGGAAGGATAGCGCCAAATCTGGACACTTCCCAGTTTGAGCAGTGAAAAATTATTCTGGGTTTTTTAAAATTCTGAATAATTTGGAGATCGTCTGAGATAATTTTTGTAACACTTTCAAAGGTGAAACATTTCACTCCATTGAAAAAAATTTTGAGTAAAATAAAATAAAGCTATCTATTCGTGTAAGTTTTAAATCTTTAAGCATTTGAGCATTGCTCAGATACCAAGGCTCATTTAGTATTTTCCTGAGAATTTTATTCTACAGCACTTGCGATTTCTTTCTTTGAGTAGGTGAAATAGGGGCCCATGTAAGGAATAGAGTAAGAATTGCAGTGCAAACTCCTAAGCAGAAGCTCAAAAGTGTAACGTTATGAGTTGCATTAACTGAGCTGGCTATAAATTTTGTCGCTTAGGATCTTTAGCTGTGCGTATCTCCCTTTCTGCTTTTGAGTTAGTGTTACAATTGTCAATCGATTCAAAATTCAAAATTCAATACTTGAAATAAATACATACAAACACAAGAGGTGGTCACACATTAAAAGAAAGGTAATATAAATAAACGTACAATTACTATACAGAATAGAATAAATAAATAAAAAGAATACACACGCATAAAAACTAAATTATGAATGCACGAAACAGACATTTACAATATTTTTCTTTCCATTTTTGTTCAGCATGGTGTTGCATTTTTCTTGCTTATGAAGTTTCTTCAATTATTGATTTTTAGGTGCAGTAAGGTTCAATCGCCTGAGGGTTGTCAACTTGTTAAAGGTTCGGGCCATTTCCCAGATTGCTGTCCGAAAATGCAGTGCAGTTAATCGCTTCTTGAAGACGTATAAATTGTAACTAGCTTGCTACAATCTAAAAGGAAATAAATGTAATACAGTTCAAATTTTGTCTTTGTTTCCTTTGTTATAAATATTATTACGTGCCTACGTAGGTGTAATACATAGACACACACTTATCAGTTTACAAGAATTAGGATTGACGCATTGATTTAAATCTTTATTTATTTCTTCCCTTATTTTTGTTATGTTGTTATTATTAAAATGTTTCACAAAAAGAGCGCTAAAAGACTACCTTGTGGGACACCACTTAGGATTGGGCAGTGTGTCGAAATGATAGAATGAACTCGTACTGAGAAAGAACGATTAATGAGATACAAGTTAATTATGTGAATAAGTTGGGCCGAAATATCGAATCGCATGAGCTTGATTATGATTCCCATATGCAAAGTCGTATGGAATATTTTGACGATGTCAAGAAAAAGTAAGAAAAACAATGATGGAGATGATGAAAGAGACCTCGATGATGTCCCTATAGATATAACGGAAGATGAACATAACGAATGTTTCAAGTTTTCTGATAATGAAAATTTTTGAGTTCTATAAGGTATGTCATTTCTTTTAAATAAACAGGATTTAGATATATGTAGAAATCTAATTTTTGTACTCTCATCTTTTCCTTATTTTTAAGTCTTATTATTTTTATATCCAGCGTACAAGGCGAACCCGTAAATTTCGATCTTATTTCTTTTAACGTGCGCGTTAGCCTCCGGAATATATGGTATATTTGGCAACGTTTTAGACTCGTTATGAAAAAATAAAATTAAAGGAAGAACTCCCATACGACAAAAATTGACCGGAATATTTAATTTCAAAATTTGGAAATTTTGATCTCATTTTCAACTTGCCTTCAGGAATTGTTAATTATGTCGTGAATTTTAAGATTCCACTAATACAATCAATAGAATGTTATAAGCTTTTTTATTAAGATCTAATTTTATGATTTGCTTTCTGTCAACTTATTTGGTCACGATATAATGATATGAATGAGTTTTAAGACATGAGTTGCCTACTATAGTTATTATTTTATTTACTATTTCCAGCGTTAGCCGTGACATCAACATCTCGGTTAATAGGGTTCAGAAAGGCGAAGAGAACAAAAAATGGCGAATTAAAAAATATTTATGGCGTGAACGCACCCAGCTGATCAATGATTGCAAGTAATGTCCTCTAGATTGAGAGTAATAAAAAAAATCTGAATGACCCTGCGCTCGACGTGTTAAAGTCAACATTAAGCAGTCAAAATGTGTATTTCTCTCCGTGCGCTCGACGAGTCAACATCAGTATTAACGCATCAAAAAATTATTCATGACAGATCATTAGAGATTGTAAACAAGGACAAAGACTGAACGTTGGATGGGATATAGGTACGTTGTCTAGTTATTTTAATTTAAAGCATTATTCGATTCGTTACACAATTGAGGGCTTACTAACATAGTATAAAACAAAGTCGCTTTCTCTGTCCCTATATCCCTATATATGCTTAAATCTTTAAAACTACTCAACGGATTTTGATGCGTTTTTTTTTAATAGATAGAGCAATTGAAGAAGAAGGTTTATATGTATAATAACATCCATTAAATAGTGGAGAAATACTGTTATTTTTGAGGTTTCTAATGTGATGTCGTAAATTTCTAATAATGTCGTACATTTTTTCCGCTTAGATTGCAAGACGCAGGCTGAACCCTACGAGATTTATCAAAATAATGTACTGAATATTGTTATTATACAAGAAAATATTGTTATTATACACATTGAAAAGGATTATAAAATTCTACAGATTTAAAAAATTGCGGGACGTAGCGTTTTGCGGCGGTACCGGCCGGCCGGGGCGGCGGGAGCGTGCCTATAAATAGCGCGTCGGAGGTCGCGGTTCTCCTTGTTCTCCCTAAATAGCACTTTGAATTTAGCAGCGATTGGACGCGTTTATTATCGGAGCTCTCTAGCGAGGAAAATAACAATATACTTAATAAAAACGTGCTTTTCAGCGCGACAACATATCAGTAATTATAAGTAAGTTACGATAAATAATTGTATGATAGTAGTTTTAAAATATAAATGATATTCTATTCTAAGGTTAATTTTTAAATCGCACTTAGAGTAATTATAAGTACATAAGGTTAGATAAGATTAGATTAAATAAAACCATAATTTATGGATTGGAATTTTCTATTAAGATCTTGGTTAAAATTTAGAGTTAAATCAATTTAATATTAGGGAAATTATTTTCAAAAATCGTAATTTAAGGTGAGGTATGTAAGTTCAGAAAAAGAACTTAATAGAATACGTATCTTTTGTTGTTGATGATTGTTGATTATCTTTTGTTTTTAGTCGCACGAATAGCAAATTATTTTTTAAGTATTTTTAATTTAATTAAAATCGTAGTTTAAGTTGAAGTATTTCAGTTAAAAAAAGAACTGAATAGAATAGGTATCTTTTGTTTTTTATGATTGTTGATTATCTTTTGTTTCTAAATGGTAAGTATCTAGATATTTTTTACTGCGGCACATACTAATAATATGGCAATTTGTGCATAGATAATCATACATATAGAACTGAGTAAATTTTTTACAGAAATTATAAAGTCATGTCTGGAAGACGTCGTCGTTCGAACATAGGTCGTAGTACAGTGAATGCCAGAAGAGTACGTTCTGCAAGAAATGAAGAATCGTCAGCGGAACGTGAGGCTCGCCTCAGTCAGGCTCGAGATAGATATAGAGCTGAGAGAGAGAGAGAGAATCTTCAGTAGAGAGTGAGGTTCGCCGCAGCCGGGATCGAGATAGGCATACGGTTCAGAGGGACATAGAATCGTCAGTAGAGCGTGAGGCTCGATTCAGTCAGCTTCGAGATAGATATAGAGCTGAGAGAGAGGTTCGCCGCAGCCGAGATAGGGATAGACATCGAATACAGAGAGCCAGAGAATCATCAGCACGATTGAAAAGTGAGATCTACCGGAAAAATTGCGTTAGCTGTTGCGTCATCCGGCATTGCCGCTACGCTTTTGGAAGGAGGCCGAACCGCACACTTTACATTCAAGCTCCCGCTGAAAATCGCCACCGATGACCGCCAGCGTCTGTAGTGTTTCTAAACAGAGCAATACAGGAAAATTGATGCGTGACTGCTCATTAATAGTCTGGGACGAAGCTACCATGTTAAACAAGACGTCTGTGGAAGCACTGGATAGGACAATGCGCGATTTGCGCAACAAAAATTCACCTATGGGTGGATGTACAATTCTGTTCTCAGGAGATTTCCGTCAAATCCTACCAGTTGTGACTCGAGGAACACGTGCTGACGAAATAAATGCTTCCCTAAAAAGATCCAACCTTTGGCCACATATCAATAAATTAGAGCTTAAAACTAATATGAGGGTTTCGTCATCTTCACGTGAGAACAGGCTATTTCCAGAGATGCTGCTAAAAGTTGGCAATGGAGAGTTAACACAAAGTGAGGAAAGGATTAACCTAGAAAACCTTTGTGTTTTGATAGACAACATCCAAGAGTTAGTCAACAATGTCTATCCTGACATTGATAACATAAGTTATAAGACAATATCTTGGTTTAAAGAAAGAGCGATTCTGTCACCAACTAACGAACAAGTAGATAAGGTAAATAAATAACTTGATTCTTTCAAAGATTGATGCGCCGACGAAAATATACTACTCGGTCGATACTGTTCTCGATTTGGAAGAAGCTGTTCATTTTCCTACAGAATTTCTAAACTTTTTGAACCCGTCTGGACTCCCTCCTCACAAAATGGTGTTGAAAGTAGGTTGTCCTGTTATTTTATTAAGAAACCTAAATCCACCTAAACTTTGCAATGGCACGCGTTTGCTGGTAAAATCACTGAAAACTTTCATAATAGAGTGCACAATACTCACAGGATGTGGTACCGGAGAAGATGTATCGATTCCCCCGAATCCCTCTGATACCATCGGATTTACCCTTCCAATTTAAACGTTTACAATTTTCGGTAAAGACATCTTTTGCAATGACCATTAGAGCCCACCAGCGGCCGAGCGGTAAAGACGCTGAACACTGGTAGTAATAATATGGCAATTTGTGCATAGATAATCATACATATAGAACTGAGTAAATTTTTTACAGAAATTATAAAGTCATGTCTGGAAGACGTCGTCGTTCGAACATAGGTCGTAGTACAGTGAATGCCAGAAGAGTACGTTCTGCAAGAGATGAAGAATCGTCAGCGGAGCGTCCGAGGTTCGAATCTCGCGAACGGGCTGGCTGCATGGGCGTTTTCGTGGTTTTCCCCATGTGTAACGTGTATATGAGCCAGTTTCCCTTAGAAAGTCCTCCACGAAAGGCATCCCTCCCCTCAGGCAGATAGCCCTAGCGTGCTTTGCCATAATTAAATACACCTACACCTGCAATGACCATTAATAAATCGCATGGTCAAACCTTCAACGTTGCAGGCTTAGATTTGAGCGTTGACTGTTTTTCACATGGCCAACTGTATATCGCTCTTTCAAGAGTAACCTCTAGAGAAAACATGTTTGTATTGTCTAATGACAAGAAAGCTGTGAACTTTGTATATAAAGACATTCTGTAATATATTAATTGTTGTAAAAATAAAATAAATAGGTAAAAATGTAAAAAGTAAATAAGTAAAAATGTAGTGTATGAATTTAGATATTCCAAAGATAGCAGGAAATCTTCATGGTATAGAGAAAGGGGAATTGTTTTACTCCAAATTTAACGCGTGCGGGCCACGGGCAGTAATAAATAAATCAAAACTACTGGATCGATTTTTATCATTTTTTCAGTGAGTGACATAGGCTATATATTTTATACCCGTGCGAAGCCCGAGCGGGTCGCTAGTAATTAATAAAGTAAGAAAATAAATAGAACAAACCTGTAAATAATGATAATTAAGACATGAATACATAATATCGAAAACAAAATTAATTATTTTTTACATTTGGGTTTTTGTAGAATCGAGAATTCTAAACGTATATTATAATGAAGTTTTAAAGAAATCTCGCCATTTTTTGAACGAACAGTCAACTTTATTAGTCAAAACTTACAG